TCTCAGCTGTGTGTGAAATAAACAATATGGGCCATATCAAATATGATATTATTATTATAAATACTAGAAATAAATATTTTAAATAGTCTACAAATAATCCACACTCAGCGATATAATGGTTCGAGTGCAGGTTCTGACTGAGGCTCTTAGAAGTTATAACATTTATTTCTTGTTTTATTACAACACAGATTTGACAATGTATTTAAGAGGTATCATGATCATACAATCAATTCGACGTTCACTTCTTCACAGGCAAACATATTTTCACTTACAAAATACGCAATAGTTCATTATCTATATCTGGAATGCCCAGACATAACATTCAAACATACATATTAGCCTACTTTCAAACATGACATAAGCTCTAATCCAAATGCAATAACAAATACAAAAAGAATCCAGGCACCTATTTTTCACTGTAAAGGCACAGATGTTTGTGGGCATCCAGCAATTAACTGGTGCAGGCAGGGTATACAACAAGTGTTTCATGTTCACAGATGTCTTTTTTTCATCTATTTGTATTATGTCCCGAGTTTCTGGCATGGCACAACATGAGCTTTGGCTTAGCAGAGTCGTGCTCCATAACCAAACGTCTGTTTAATGGCATCAAAATAGTATCTCTGCTGCCAGCCCTCTTTCATTCTTTCCTCCTCATTGCTAGGAACTCCTCTGGCCTCCAGAATCAGCTCTGTCTCACTGCCTTGATTCACGAAGTTTAAAACGACAGTTGCTGCATGTCCTGAAAGAGAGTTAGAAAGAAATCATTACTCAGATTAAAGCAAAGAGATCCAACAATAGTGATGAACATAAGTAAACAATCAACAATGAGCAACACATGTCATAGAATTTCTTTAACTTATACAAAACAAATAATATAGAAAAATAAAGTGTCATTTATTATGATTGCTAATATTAAAAATGGCATGTGAGTTCATAAAGAAATTATAAGACTACATTAACATATACAATAAATAAATAAACCATACCATCTGGCCAACTTGAAAACCTCCATTTCATGACAATTTTCTGGTCTGGAATCTAAAGGGAAAAGGACAATTTTTAAAAATCGACGCGTTTCAAAAAGGCGGGGCATAGAGGAGAAACAATAATGTACAGTATGTGGAAAAGAATGTGTTTTTTGAACTTTAAACCGCATAAACACATTTCATTACACCCAATACACAAAATAATGTTCTTTTTAGCAGCATCATATGACCCCTTTAAAGGTACATATTAGTACCTAAAAGGTACAAAAGTGTACCTTTTGAAAAGGTACCGCCCCAGTGACAGCTTTTGTACCTTTTTTTCTGAGAGCGTAGTTTGAAAATTATACCTCATTACAGAAACATACTATAAAAATCAAGTGAAATTCTCACCATAGAAATCAATCAAACCAAATTAAAATTATTCTAAGAAGTTCATTAGAGTTCAGTTCTGCAAACTGCCCATAAACATTTCCTTCCAGTAGTCGGAATTTTCCACCCGAGCACCCATCCACAAAAGCAGCAAGGTGTGTAAATGCCTGTACCATCTACACAAATGAAAAGACAAAGAGCAAGTGAGTTCAACATCAAATAATCTATGCATAAAAGAACACCAGGATATATACACATTTATTGTTTTAATTGCATTTGTATGGACTAACAGGACAATAGGGGAGTTTGAATCTGACCTCTTGGTTTAGGAAAACCCTGTACAACTCTTCTGGTGAGGTAAGGAATGTGTCTTTCATAGTCAAAGACACTGTTGGAATTTTGACTCCAGTGTTGGGAGGGTTTCTTGTTGTGGAGGATCCAATCTGTGGGGGAACAAAAACTACCCAATTTTGATACAGAGCTGAAACATTAAAGTGCACAAATATCGTTTGATTCCAAAAACAAGCATGACAATTTGAAATAATACTGTTTCATATTGTTTGTGTGAGATTGCAATTTCAGACATACTGTAAAATACAGGGTGGATGTATGACCAGCATACTGTTTATCTAGCATATATTTGTGTTACCAGAAAAATTTACGGAAAGTTACTTGGGTTTTGTCTAGTTTGGCCTTGGCTTGTGCCTCTTGATTCTGTTTGTTGAATGCTTTTTCTGTTGGTAAAATCATACCCTGAGAGAACTCTGTAAAAACAAGTTACGAGAACGTGATTAACTGTGCAAATAAAATAAAGCAGAAACTACTAATAGATGATGTTTTAGAGTCGTCACCTGTTTTGAGATGTTTGACATAGTTTCCCAGTGCCATTCTGATTTTCTTGACTCCCTCCTTCCTCATGAGGTCAGTCAGCGGCGTGCTTGGCTGGTCTTTACAAAATGTAACACAAATCTGCACAAACAAACATAAGTTCGTTTTTTATTAAAAAATGTTATTCAACATGCTCTCTCTTATAGAAAGAGTATTTTATTGGGAGAGAGGTTCACTTACGTCTAAGTCATCCATGTCATTTTCATCAGAGAGATTTGGTATTTCCACAGTCCCTTTATATTTGATTCCCATTTTATTTGTTCCTACAGTGAAGAAGAAAACAACAACACGTCTTTCGTTTCACCAGCTCATTCAATTATTATGTTGATTGTGCAAACAGAACTTTGACTCACCAGTCCATGTGGCTTTAACAACCCACTCGTAGAAGTAGATGAGTTTCCCTTTGCGGTTGTTGATAGATGCCTCGCCATCTATATTGCTGATGTCTGTGATCTCGCATGAGCCTTCTTCACCCTACACGAATCCCAAGAAGGAGGCTATTTATTGCATCTTGAGACCAGCTTGTGACATCTCTCTCTGTCCTTTAATAAGATTATGAAAAATAAACATTTATAAACAGTTTATTTGATAGAATTAGCATTTAATTCACGTTTCAAAAGAGAACTATGTAAATACTTTTAATTGCAGTTTCTCCCATTTCTATAGGGGAGTAAATGTGCGTAGATAGAGAGAGAAAAGTTATATACATAACTATAATATAGATTACTTATACAGATAAGTAACATTTTACACATTTCAAATGGGACAGTTCAAAAGTCTTACTCAGTTTGCTTTTCATCAGAACACCCTGAGTCTAATTCTGTCTCACATTCATGTACTTCCAAAAATAGACCGTGCCAACCCCTCACATTCAACTACAGGACATTCCAGAGGCTTCTGCAAACACTGGAAAAACTAACCTAATGGCCATAAGATCAGATAGGCAGTGTATGTAAAATATATACCAGTTTCAGAAGTTTCCTGTGAAGTGTCATGCCATACTCGATTTAAACATTTCTATCTGTTTTTATATAGTGTCTGGCCGCACATTGAGACAGAATATTACATTTGTCGCACGGAGGATCATTTAAAATGAACATTTTAACCCAAATTAGAAATTTAACCCAAAATCTAGAGGGGGTGGGGGTGGCAGGGGTGTGTGAACAAAGGCCTCCTGTAGCGAATCGATGCGTTTTTGTAAGAAAAATATCCATATTCAAAACGTAATAATCACTTTAATCCTGAGTCTGATCCTGAAGTGTTTTAGAAAATGCATTGATTCTTCAGTTATTGGCATTTGATTGTCATTAACTCACTCACACTGTTATAAAATTATAGATCTTGCTTCACCCTTTGGAGTAGATGGCCTTTCAACATAAATCCGGCTTTAAAAAAAAGTTTAGTCATGATTTTAGGCTACAATGTTTAAAGACTCTATGATTATTTTATAACCCTAGAACTCTTGTTCTGATATTTGAGGTGTTCATGAAAAACATAATGAAATGTCTTGGCATTATATGTTGTTTTAAGGATTTGCCATATTTTCAATGTATTGAGTAAAATGTTTAAATGAGTATAAACAGAAGACAAAGACTATCCTTGATTCCTTTCGAACCTTCTGGAGGTAAATAGCCAACATAGGAAATCAAATGAATTATTCAGAGCAAACTGCCAGGTGAGCATCTCATGCACTCCATCAGATCAGCTGAACAGGAAAAAAGTGTGTAGTTCTGCTTTGTGTGTAACATTGTTATGTAAAATTAATACATGAAAAAATTGTAGTCTCGACACATTGTGTAAACATGAATCATGTTCATAATTGTTAAAGTGAATATAATTATAAATGAACAATTTAGAATATTTTTCAATCAAACGAGACAAAAATATTGATACATTACCAAATACATTTTTAGAGAGCCAACATTATAAAATAAACTAGTCTAATCCAATAAGAATACGATCAGATGTACATCACAATTATCTGAGAACCACAATCTTGTTGCTATACCACAACGAGGAAGACTTTGAGAGCCACATTGGTGTTTTCCTGTATCAGTCTAATTTGTCTCCCAGTTGCTATTAAGCACAGCAAACTGCAGTGATATCCCAGCCAGGAGTGCAGCTCTGTACCCACCAAAAAGCGACAGACAGAGGGGCACACAGTGGTGTAAGCACTAAGCACTTTTAATGAGCCTGCTCTTTGAGAGAGACATAAAATAAGAAGAGAAAAAAGGCTGAGACTCTCTATGGGGTCGAGAGCAGATTTCTTCATACATGTTGTTGCATTATTAATGCATCTGTTTGTTGCAAGCAATTCGACCCAAGTGCAGACGGCCTTCAGATAGCAATCTTAGAGTTTGGATTCAAATGTTTTACAAATAGATCCATGGAAAGCACATTTTTAAATTCATTTTTATATACGAGTTGCATCATTGAATCCCATTTTTAATGCATAGCTGCTTGTTTATAAGACTTAAGTGATACCCTTTGTATCACGATTTTATATAACATATTTGTTTATCTGAAGGATATCGGACGTACAGCATGATGCCGAATAAAGTAAGTCGTTATCGCCTTACATGCATTAATTGATTTTGCCTCTAGGGGGCAATATATGTCCATATTTCCTATATGTTTAACTGCCTTGTTTACTCCATATTGACAGTCCGTTTTATATCACTTAAATGATGTGCTTGACTGGCTGTAGATCTTGAGTAAATACATAAAACGTTTTCATTTCCATTTTTTTATTAGACATACTGACCTGCTACAATCTATTGCATAGAATATGACTGCAAAAGAAAATGCTTTATTATTTACAGACCTCACAAAAATCTGCTGTCAAAACAGATCAAAGGACAGTTTCTAGGGAAAGAAGAAAATGTAAGGTTTAAAGTCATCATAAAAAACATCTAGCCATTTATTCAAAGGTATACAGGCCTACTACATTGTGTCATTTGCTATTAGGCAAGACAGCGCTTTATGTTCCTATTTTCATATTGCACTTGGGACAAAGTGACATTTTGAGGTTTCTGATATTACAATTTCTTTAGGATAATTAAAAAATTTTTTTTTAAAATAAATAATAGCCAAATTAACAAGATGAGTTGATGTTTAAAGCTTGCGTGCGGTTTTGTGCCTCACAACCAAATTTGAGAAGGACCATGATAATACAAACTCTTGCTGCTTTTTGTGGTCTATGTGCAACCAGTACATCAAACGTACCATACATTATTTGAGTAATCCGTTCATAAGTTTACGACAAAGTGTAAACCACTTTACACTGCTGCTCTGTGCATTACTGCAATGCATGCTTCTAGACTAAAGCATAACGAACATTAGTTTATAACCAGAGGCTGCTGGGGCTGATTATTGTGAAACAAATGTCCTTCAAAAGACTGAAATTCAAGCAACAGGAGACATTACATTTAAATGAGGCCGACAACAAAGCATTAACCACTTTAGCATAAAAACTGTTAAAAAGCTGCCTAAATAACTGAATGGTCCAAAGGGAAATGAACACACTGTTAAGATCCCATCGTCTTTCAGTTCAGAGTCAGCACAGATCGAAACATTTACAAATAATTTCATTGATAAACATCTCTCATAACTCTGCATCATAAATGTACACGTTAATTGTTACTAAGAGGTGAAGTACAAATCACACTTCAAAAAACAAATAAAACCTCCAAAAGACCAAAGTCTACTGATCATATCTCACTCTTAAATAAAAGCAATATATTATCTCATGATCTTTAGTCAACAACAAATAAAAAGATCAAAACACAAGTAAAATATATAAATACAAATGTATATACACAACACAAAAAGAAAAACTGATCAAGCTTACAAAGCTACACTCATTAGATCCACAGCTTTCAGCATTAAAAACAGGTCGCTGATGCAACGCCGATGGTCTCATCATGAAGTCTCTCTCTGGTTTATGGTTACCATCTTACACGAGCAAGTTTCCTAAAATCTGAGTGTAAACTTCTTTAGTGTCAGGTTTTCTCTGTGGCGGTGCATGTGTCTTGTGAGCGGGAAAGGCAGGGTGGGGTGCCTGCAAGCCTGAGTTTAAAGAGGGATGAGCACATCAGTTTCAACCAAAAAACAAAAAGCCCTTCTCTGCTGCAACCTCAAACTCTGTAATTAGTTTTTTTTTTTATTATATAAATATCTTATGTATTTTAGCTGGAATGTCTAAATTTAACTCAAATTCAGACTGTAAAATGTCTCAAGCCACTAATGATCAAAGTGAGCTATCCATAGGCAAGGGAAGAACCAAACTGAACCACTTCCACTTGTTATTCTATTCCGCATGAAGCAGAGAGAGAACAAATCTCCTCCCTTAAACAAAAACGATTGGTTGGGAGGACATCAAAGCCCCTTGGGGCCTCACTGGGGGTGGGGCTTGCTATGAGCGCACCAATGCGCACCAGCTCAAACTCTAAATGTAGCATTCACCACTAGCACAGCTCTCCACGTGACAGGAACTGATTGCTTTAACCCCCCCCCCCAATCTCGCTCTCTGGTTCTTCCCTTCCCCCTGTTTCTGCCCAGTCTTAATGGAGACAGCAGCTTGTGGCTCTTTCGCATTCGATTGCAGCAACTTGATGTTCGGTGGATGTTAATACAGGTCAAAAACTAAGGGCCTTGCTCTAGTCTACCATTTCACAAGTTTAAGTAGTAACTAATAACTAAGTTTGTGATGAAGGGAAAAGTAAGCAGGTGAGACATCAGATTGGATTAATCTCTGCTCCACGCGAGTAAGCTTGTACATTCAGAAATGGTCTTTGAGACCACAGCATGAGAGGCAACCATAGACATCCACAATTAGCTTTTTACAATGTAGATCACAATGCGAGAGCAGAGAGGAGATGTGGACCCACATTCGAGTAATGGCTTCTTTAGAGGTAAATGCTCAAAAAAGTGACAAACAACCCACTTAGAGAGCATCATGGGCATAGAGCAGGAAACTCAGGCAAGTCTATGCGCGGGTCCACAGTGTGCAGTTCATCGTCGGCAGTCTTCATTCTCCGTTGTAGGCACTATGTTCATACGAGGGATTCGACGGTGGCTGTGTGACTGACAATCATGTACGTGAAAAGTAGAAATAGGATTAAATTCCAAGTGATTAGAAAATACAGATCACTTTTTATGCAAGCAACAGCTCATTCTGAAACCAAAGTAAGAAATGTTTCAAAAAGAACATTTTGAATAGAAAGATCGAGACAAAAGCCTTTCTTCTACAGCTATATAGCTTTGGACTAAATCCTAACATTTGAGGAGAGGCTTTCCTGTGAACAGAGCCATATATAAAACAATCAGCAGTTTTGAAAGTTATTGGAGAGAAACCATTAAAATACAGTTGTAACAATGACAGTCTTTGTATAGAGAAAGAGCTCTTGGTATCTTGAGAGGTAGTGTGAGTGCTGCATGTGCATGACATGATCTGATAATCATAATTACTGACAGTTAAATGTAATGCTTCAGAATACAGTGGAGATCACAAAAAATAAATGCCTTTTAGCTTATCAAAAGCTAAGGTGGAGCGTCCATAACAATCCACTTTTCTTCCATCTTCTTTTAAATACAACTATCCAATATAAATAAGCATCAATGGTAATACTTTGTATTTGTTTCCGAAGTCCCTGCATATTCATATCTTAGTTTGCTTAAATATGAAGGATGGCAGCTTAAGCTCGACCATCTGGAAAAAGTCTTTAAAATGTGCATTTATCCTACAGTGAGAGTGTGTTTCCTTTTTTCATATATAAATATATCAGTCCTTTGTATAAAAATAGATAAAATATTTGTTTGTTTGCTTTTAAAAAATAAAATGCATTGTATTATTCATTTCCCATAGAAAACACTGGGATGGCTGAATGAGGACACTGTGGTCTGAGCTGTGATTCAGGAGCGCACAAGGATCTCCATGATGTGGTCCAGGTCATTGATGTCTGAGAGACCGAGCTGTAGGCTGTTGTTGGAGGTGCAGCTGGAAAGGCTCTTGAGGCCATCGTCCACCCCGCTGCTTCTCTGCACAGGAAACGCCAGGACAGAAATGTCAGAGGAGTCGTACATCGACGTGTCAATGTCCTCAAAGATGTCATCCAAAGCCAAGTCTGTCAAGTAGCTGGTGGAATTAGTAATCTCGAATGAGCCAAAGAGTGAATCTGATGACCTTGTGTCATCCTCACCAGCGAGGGATGGCAAAAGAGTCTCATTTACGGTGCCACCAAACTGGACCTCCTCCTCCTCAGCTGTCATGAGGGGGAATGAAGGGGACAGTGCTCCGGTTAGAGGTGGAGGACAGTCTAAGGGCACAGGTGGCAGGTCAGGGAAGTGGCGTGGGGTGGAGGCGTGAGGGAGCGAGGGGCCGAGCGGGGCTGGTGGCAAACAGGTTTCCCCCTCCTGTCTCATTTCCTGCTGAATCTGGCGGAGGGTGTTGGCCAGCAGGACTGAACGGTGCAGGCTGGGTTCAGCTCGCCGCTGGCAGCTTTGTAGCTTGTCTAGACACAAGTCCAGCACCAGCTGCCTCTGCTGAGGATATGGCAAGTCCTGGGCAGGGTCCTCACATGAGCTCAGCTTACGTTTCACCCCCCGGCCCAACATGTACCTAAAGTTGAGAACAGAATGGAAAGTTCAGAAAAACAGAACAGGGACATTTCTTTCGCTGACCTACCTTGCACTGAAATGAATTATTACATAAGGGTGCATGATAATTACTTGTAAATCAAGCTTTTTAAGCTTTACTCAATAATATATTTAGCATAAACGCATCAGAGGGATGTTATGTACCAGCAACAAATGTTTCTTTGCAAGTGAGACATTGCACATGCCTCTCTAGACTGCTGAGCTCATCACCGAACAAATCCACAATCAATGCCATAAGGTGGATCGATGACAAATAAAAGTGTCCACAATAAATAGAAGGAAAAACCTTTTAAAAACTAGCTTAAAACAAATGTTCTAAGTTCTTAAAAAACGAATTCATATTGATTTCATAAGGTTTTTAAACATGTTTATAGTATTTTCAAGAAAGGTTTCAATTTAGTGACTTAAGTGGTGTAAGCAAAGTAAAAAGCAATATTTATAATAAACACATTTTCCTTAGACATTGAATAGACCTTAGTCAGAGTAGCACCATATTTACTTTTTGACAGGAATGATAAAAAGGGTGTGAAAAAAAGAATGTGTGTTCAATGGATTGTACTGTTGTTTAACAACATGTCAGTCGTTTAGCTGGCTAAACATCTTTACAAAAACCTTCAGTAGACAAAAACTCAAAACATATTCAGATTTTTGTAAATTACATGTGATCTAGGACCTTTATTTGGTGCATGCCACTGTGACGAATGCAAGGCTGATGATACATGGGGCAACTTTTTGAGTAATTTTGCCGGGCAACTTTTTTGAGCAAGTTTGAGCTTGAGCACTTTCCCATTGAGAATGGGTAACAAATGTCTATCTGGATACTTTAGATCGGTCGTGGGCCCTGTGTCTCACCTGGTTGCCCATTGACGGTAACACTTCTCAAAAAGTTGCCCCTGTGTATCATCAGCCTTGCATTCGTCACAGTGGCATGCACCAAATAAAGGTCCTAGATCACATGCAATTTACAAAAATCTAAATATGTTTTGAGTTTTTGTCTATCCCTCATAGCCTCGTTTTCATACACATAAAAATTCAGTATGGTGTATTTATTTTAATCATTATTTGCAAATATTTTTCATTGCAAAAAGTAATTCATTAATAATTAATCAAAAGTAATAATTCATTAATATAATTTTTTTAATGAATATGTTCTTGAAAAGTCACACAGAATCACATTTTACAACACCGCATCACATTTACAACATTAAACTTGCTTTGTCATAAAAAGGTTGAATTATCTGACATTTCATGACCGTGTTAATACTTGACACAAGTTTCTGCATGGATCACAAGAATGCATGCATGTTCTACTAGTCCTGCAGAGTTCACTGTGCGATCTGCTCCAGTTAATTACTTTGCATGGCATAAACCAATTGCGAATTTAACAGCACCATGACCATTGTCTGTGCACAGTGCACACTGACTATTGCTGAACTCTGTTCTTGACAAACACTTTTGCCTTAAAATTTGACTGTTATCTGATACATGACTGATAACGTGAAGCTTTAACCTGACACAGCTCTTTCTCCTCCTCCCAGAGCGGGACTTCCTGAGAGGTGGATGCATTAGCTCAAGCTCCTCCTGTCTGCGACTGCAGTACACTTGAGAATAAGCTCATGCTTCATTAGTGCTCCCTTCTCACAGCGGAGGAGGATTCGCAGCACAGGAGCGCAATGCTTACTGCAGCAGCTCTGCAAAGCCTTCTATCGCATGAGCGATACTTACAAGCAAAAACCTCCTTCGAGATACACTTTTAAAAATAAAGGTTCCAAAAGGGGGTTTTCGCAGCAATGCCATTGAAGAACCTTTCAGTGTACAGCTCTTAAAAGAAAAAAATTTTCTTAGTGTGAAGAACATTTTAATAATCTAGAGAACCTTTTCCACTATAAAAAACCTTTTGTGCAATGGAAAGGTTCTTTATGGAACAATCGATGCCAATATACAACCGTTATTTTATAAGAGTGTATTGTGACTGCCATGACTTTCACCTGTCAAATCCAAACTGTAGAAGGAATTAGCCATCTTTGAGCACTGAAAAAAGGTTTTACTATTCCAAGCCACAAATTTTGTTTGGGTCATACGTTTATGTGCAAACATAAGCGAAATGTGGCTTGTGGGCACACGATTTGAATCCCGACCATAACTGCTCTGTCATATAGCCGCCCCGGATCTAGAGAGCTGGAGTTTGAGTGGAAAGGGCTGTAAATGTGAGAGACTGTCTATCCACCTCTGCGCTCTCTGTGTTGTAGGCACCCCCCTCCATACATCCATCACTCTGAACGAAGGCAGACATCCCCCGCAGGTCTGGTCACTGACTGCTCTTCTCTACTGCAGGATGCATAGGAAGCTGCAGGAGCCAAGAAGAGCCTCTTGTGTTCAGAAGTGAGACAAATGCATTAGATTGTGTAGTCTCAATCCCACCATGTAGAAAAATGTGCAGTGTTAAGTCTCAATCTGAGGCAACAGATACCGCAACCAGTCATGTACCTCGACTAAAGCACGAAGGGAAGGATATCTTTAATTAAAGAACAACTAACACCATTTGTGTCAAAACAAGTTTGATTAAACACTTTCAATGCCCGGAAACAGCCTGAACATGTGTGTGCGCACATGCATGGGCTGCTGCGCTCAAGTGTGTCATGCCGGGGCTAGCGGTTATATAACCATGCATGCTAGCAGAGCACTCTGGGCTCATTTCGGCTCAGCCCTATAGGTGCCGTTCCTACAAAGCAGTTACAAGGCTTCAAAAGGGACATTTTGTGTTCCCGCACATTTCACAGCTGAACTCCGGCAGGAGCACATGTACGCTTGGAAGAGGGTCTGCAGCCTGTCTCTGTCAGCAACAGAAAGCTATAAATGGAATGTGAGCGAGCAAACCACCACGACTACAGAAAAACAATATAATCAAGAAGAATATTACATGGAAGAATTCATATTTCATATAGCTTATCATGCTTATTAGAGCCCGACCGATATGGGTTTTTCGGGGCCGATACCGATCACACCATTTCAAGCATTTTATCTGCGTTATATGTTCTGTAAAAAAAAATTCATATCGGCGGCATATTCGCAGATACCGATATATCGGCAAAACGATATATCGGTCGGGCTCTAATGCTTATGACATCAAACAAGTGTTAAAGCTTGAGAAAAAGGTCACTGACTGATGTTTGCAATCCCATGTGCTTTATAAAGCTTTTTTAAAGAAGGCAAGTTGAACAACTTCAAAAGTCTCGCAGCTTTAAAGCAGCAAGGCATGATTTAAATTGGGCCCCTCTGGTTAGATTGGCCTCTGTGGTCTGCTTGCCATGGCAACAGCTGTGGATGAGAGGCTGGCGCATGAGTGGCACACAGAGTCTGCAGCTCAAAGACAATAAGCACAACTAGGGAGACGACCACCAAAGTGGGAGAACACGAATGGGATCCATAGAAGAGGCAGCATTGCAGAAGAGTATGCTGCGTTGCATCACTTCAGGTCTGCACATATACATGATGGTATTTTAGTTTTTTTTTTATTGATGTTTGTTTTTTACCTAGTAGTGATTCAGAAGTGAGGCTGGCCATGGAAAGTCCCACCATGGCAATACAATGATACCAAATTTTTATATGCAAAACACATTATCTTAACGTGTCCAATAACCGATGTGTAGTACTGATTTTAATAATTGTTAAATAACTGCTGCTTGACACAATAATAACTACCTGATTGTTAGACATAAACAATAATGTTTAATTTGCTGAATGAAATCCAATACTTGTTTCTTACTCATTTTGGGGTGCTGACTTCAAAAATACCGCCCGTTTTGCTTTAGCATGTCACACTTTCTCACAAAATATGACATGCATTTCTGCTTTCAACAACCAACTGTAAGGTTAAGATACAACATTAAAATATATTGTATTACGCCTTAATACAACATTAGATTTCAACGTTAGAAGAATTATGCCCCAGATGTTTCTTCCTACATCTGTAGGAGTTTTACTACATTCAAACAGTGACAGAAAATTACAGATTTTGCGGAAAGTTCTTTGACATTAAATTGAGTATTTGAACATTTTTCCACTCCTTTGCAGTCTAAGTTAAATGATATGTTTTGAATTCTTACTTTTGTCATTAAACCTTTTGACATTTGACAGCTTTTGTTATTTTAACAAGTGCTTTAAAGCTGATACTAATTTGAAAACTCTTATTTTGTGAAAAAAACTATACATGATGGAAAGTTTTGTTGATATTGTTGAACTCAGCATCATCAAATTGGGTAATATTAGGCCTTTTCTGATAATCAGCAGACATTCTTCAAGATGCATGATTTTGTAATAATAATAATAACAACTAAATGTATTTAATACATTTGATAATAAAAGTAAATGTTATTATCATTACTACTTTTATCATACTTTTTATTACTAATGTGTAAAGTGTAGTCTCAATTGCAGAGTTTGGTACTAGGGATGTTTATTTCGGTTATTTTTCCTAACCGAGAACTGACGCTCGTTAACCGATTATTAACCGTTAACCGACAAGATTATTTTAAATTAGAATTGAATTAAATTAGAAAGGATAAGTGTCTGTGAACCGTTAAAAATACTAACATTTGTTTCCCGGGGATTCATTTTACATGCGCAAAAAGCAGCAAACAACAGAACATGAGG